GCCAGGGCCTGGTCCCCAGTGAGGGACTCATGTGGGCCAGCAGCAACATGCCTCCAACCTGGCCAGCTGTCTTCCAGGTGAGAATGAGGGGAAGCGGGGTGCAGGGATGGAGACTGTAGCAGCGTGGGGAGAGTGCAGTCTTTACAGCCAGCCAGGCCTGGGTTCACGTCTCAGCTCTGCCAGCACCTCAGCTGGGAAATCTCAGGCCTGTGGCCAGGCTTCAATCTCCTCATTTATATAACGGGGAGAAAATTATCTCCTTTATAGGGGTGATTTTATAATCCTTTATATTATGGTTTTTATGATGATTAAATATATATATCCAGAAGATTCTAGTATAGGTACTACTTCTTAGTAGGTATGCAATAAATCTTTGTTAAATCTAATTGTTTAAATCCATCATCACTAAAAGAAGAAAACACAAAAATTCAACAGTCCAACAATTCCAATGTGGCCAAGTAGATACTCACACGGTGCTGTGGAGGGTATAAACCCTACAGCCACTTTGGAGAACAATCTGGCCTTGAGTGATGTGGAAGATGCACAGGGCTATTACCCAGGAATTGTTCTATTAAGTATATACTAAACTCGGGCCAGGCATGGTGGCTCACACTTGTAATCTCAGCACTTTGAGAGACTGAGGCATGAGGATCACTTGGAGCCAGGAGTTCGAGACCAGCCTGGACAACATATTGAGGCTCCATCTCTACAAAATTAAAAATAAATAAATAAATAAAAGCATATATTAAGCTCATGCACATGTGCCCAGGAATGTTTAGAACAACAATGTTTGCAATTGCCCTAAACTGGAAATAACCCAATTAGCCATCAACATTAGAACAGATCGACAAAGTAACTATTATAGATTAGAGATAGAAAACTATTCCTATAATGAACTATCATATGGCCATGAAAATGAATGAACTACAGCAACACACAGCAACATAGGTGAATCTCACGACATAATATTGAGAAGCATCAGCAAGACACAAAAGAACATATGCAGTGTGATCCCATTCATATGAAGATCAAAAACAGGAAAAAAAATGAGATTACAGTGTTTAGGGATGCAAACACAGCAAGTTATAAAGAAAAGCAAAGAAATGATTACCACAAAAGTTAGGAAAATCATTACTTTTAGGGAGAGAGAAGAGGAGTTTGTTGTTTAATTGGAAACAGGGTCTTGCTGTGTTGCCCAGGCTGGTGCAGTGGCACCATCACGGCTCACTGCAACCTTGAACTCTTGGGCTTAAGTGATACTCCTAACCTGGCCTCTCAAAGTGCTGGGATTACAGGAGTGAGCCACTGCACCGAGTTGAGAGGATGGTTTTGATGGGGAAGGGCACTCCAGGGATTTATAGGGGACTAGTAATGTTCTATTTCCTGATCTGGGTGATAGTTACACTTGGTTGTTCTCTTTATAATAGTTCATTAAACTGTACTGTTAACATACATGTTTTTCAGTTTTCTATATGTATGTTACATTTCTTTTCCTCTTTTTTTTTTTCTGAAACGGAGTCTTGCTCTGTCATCCAGGCTGGAGTGCGGTGACGCAACCTCTGCTCACTGCAACCTCTGCCTCCCAGGTTCAAGCAATTCTCCCACCTCAGGCTCCTGGGTAGCTGGGATTACAGGTGCCCATCACCATGCCCAGCTAATTTTTGTATTTTTAGTAGAGACAGGGGTCACCATGTTGGCCAGGTTGGTCTTGAACTCCTGACCTCAAGTGATCCACCTACCTCGGCCTCCCAAAGTGCTGGGATTATAGGCATGAGCCACTGAGCCAGGCCTATATGCGTATTTCTTGATAAAAAGTGAAAAAAAAATGTATATGCTGAAGAAGGAGACAGAAGTACCATCCTCATAGATGTAGGACAAGTAAAAAATACAGGTGTTTTATAAAATATGTGTTTCATTTTGGATAAGTTGAAAGATGCATGGTTAATAAACATTTTTTACATATGAGAGAATGAAGTAGCACTAGGTAGGATATTAAAGAGTTCTAGACAGAATTTTCCAAGCCATCTAACATTTTCATCTTCTGAGTATTTCTTGAATGCAGGAATTAAGCAACATGACCTATGAATTTTGACCTGGTCTAATTCCAATATTAATATGACCTATGAATTTTGACCTGGTCTAATTCCAATATTAATGTACAACAATTGTGAAACAGTGGAGAGGGACTAACTGAAAACATGTATAGACAAACTAGTTTTTATACTTTTGTGAAAGGAATGCAATTCTCATTGTTCACTTGGGGATCAATTAGTTTGACAATAATTTTTTTATAATATCGAGTTTATAAGAGGGAAATGGGTCAAGATGGCTGCCTCTTTTGGACTGGGCCGCATGGAATTCTTCTGCCAGGAGTTTTCTTCAGATCTGATTATTTAGCAAGTAAAGAAACCTGATTTTGCTACTTGACCCAGAGTTATCAGATCTGGGGGACTGCTGACAGTGGTTTCTGAGGCCACTGACATTTCCCGTAGCCCTATTCTGTGGCCCATCCACTGAAGAAAGGCGAGCCTGTGCAGGCCACAGCCTCTCTGGTTCCCAGGCTCCACATAGGTCACATGGACCCTACTGGTCATGGTTGTCATGAGAACCCACTCCCTCTTCAACAAGACATTAATATTTTCATGGCACAAGTGAAAAGAAAGGGCCAAGCTCAAACCTCATCTTTTTACCAGATGGCAATATCCCCAGAAACTCCAAGAGGGGTTTCACTTTCCACAGAGAATAGGAAGGCCTGGCCCAAAGGGACCAGATTTGGTCAAGTTCCCTAAATAGGACTGCAGGGATTGTGTTTGTTTATGGAATTACTCACTTGGCTTCATTATTTGTTTCCAAAATACAGATTTTATAAAAGTCATTTTAAGTGTAAAAAAAAAACCCCTTCAGATTATACATCTGAGAAGTGAAGTTGCAAAAGGACTCTTGATACTGTGTGAATGTGTGAGGTTCAGATGTTATGCTTTCATAAAATAACTTGTGTTTGAAGGCCTGGAGACTTCCTCCTCACAGATGTCTCACTTAGTGATTTTGTCACCTATTTTGGTGGCTTCAGCTGTCTCTCCAGAAATGAGCACAAGGAGCCCCTAAGGAGACACAGATATGGGATATTAAAGGAATGTGAACTATGCCAGGGAGTGGGAAAGGAGTGGAGCAGAGCTGCTCTCTGAGGAAAGTGAATCTGACCTCCAGCCAAAACCATTTCTCTGGTGAAAACTCCAATGGTCTCAGGCCAGATGACTTGGACACCATCTCTTGGAGTGGGAAGACAAAGCTCACAAGCTTGTCCCACTAACACCATTAGGACCCCTTCTCTGAGAGACCACTAAGGAGGGCTCAACCAGGACCTGAACAGAGAGAAAATTTCCTCCAACAAAGGAAAAATTTTCTTCTGAGACAGTTTAACCATCGCTAATGGATAGCATTCAGACTCAAATACACTATCTGTATAGTGGCTGTGGTAGCTTGACTTGGTACTTTTCTTTCACTTTTTCTTTCTTTGTCTACAGGTAAACAGAACCCAATACAGCTGGAGAAATGAGAGCAAAGGGTTCCCCATCTGTCCACTGGACTTGCCTTTCTCCCATACTCACACTCTTCCACGGGCGCCGCTGTCTTCTGACAGGGGCAGGAGAGGCCTTGCAAGGCTGAGGATTGTCGTTTAGCTCCATTTCTGTTTCTTTGCTTCATTCTGTGCCCCTGCTATTAGTTGATGTTCTTGTTGACTCCCTACTGGGTTATTTACTGTCAACCAGGGTCATTTACACTGTCCTAATATCAGGACCTACAGTATTTTCTACATCACTGGAGCCTTTGCCTTCCCCGGGCACTCTATGTGTGTCCTCACCTAGAGGTTTATAGGTTTATTATAAAGAATATTACAAAGGATACAGAAGAAGAGATATAGAGGGCAAGGTATAGGGGAAGGGGCTTGGAGGCTCCATGCCCTCCTGGGTACACCACCCTGAAGGAACCTCCTTCTGGTCAGCTTTCTGGTAGTTCCTTTACTTAGCAGTTTTTTATGCCAACATTTGCTGTCATGTGCACACAGGCCTCATATCTTGCTAGCTTGAAAATTTTAGACTGATGTTTACATCAGAATTGCAAAATTTCCCAAACATTTTATTTTTCCTCTGCTGTCTTCCAGTTTCACAGGTTTACTCCATTTCTAGATATGGCTGTGGGAGGAACAATAATCAGATTTAATGTCCCTGGAGCCCCAAATCACATCCTTTGGGGGGCTTTAGTACCAGGTCATTCCAGGAAACTTTACACATAAGTGGACATGCCGAGCCAAACCAGGGAGATGCAATGTATTCTGCAGAGTAATGAATGGTTCCACATGGCCTTGCTTTCTTTGAAGTATCACATCAATTTTTTTTTGGGCGGGGGGCAGGGATGGAGTCTCGCTCTGTTGCCTAAGCTGGAGTGCATTGGCGCAATCTTGGCTCACTGCATTCTCCGCCTCCTGGGTTCAAGCAATTCTCCTGCCTCAGCCTCCCAAGAAGCTGGGACTACAGGCGTCTGCCACCATGTCCGGCTATTTTTTGTTATTTTAAGTAGAGACGGGATTTCACTATGCTGGCCAGGCTGGTCTCGAACCCCTGACCTCATGATCCGCTCGCCTGGGCCTCCGAAAGTGCTGGGATGACAGGCATTAGCCACTGTGCCCGTCCCACATCAATGTTTTAAAGCAATTTGTATTTAAAGTTCCAATTACTAGGCATTGTATTTATTTATGTACTTATTTTTAAGAGTCTTGCTCAGTAGCCCAGGCTGGGGTGCAGTGGCATGACCTCAGCTCACTGCATCCTCTGCCTCCCAGTTTCAAGTGATTCTCCTGCCTCAGCCTCCCGAGTAGCTAGGATTATAGGCATGCACTACCAAGTCCTGCTAATTTTTGTATTTTTAGTAGAGATGAGGTTTTACCATGTTGGCCAGGCTGGTCTCGAACTCCTGGCCTCAAGTGAGCCTCCCGCCCCAGCCTCCCAGAGTGCTGGGATTATAGGTGTGAGCCACCGCGCCCAGCCGACATTTTAAATAGATTTTCTCACAAGTGGACATGGACACATGCTCACGTCACAAGTTTTTGCAAGATGAGAAACAGAGTAGATGGACCACTTACAAAGCTCAATGCCATTTGCTGGAGGCCAGTCAGCCAGAAGCATTGCATTAATTCTTACTTTGTCTTCCTTTCCTCTAGAAGAGATTGATTGGAATTTCCAACAGGAGTTTTTACATTGACATTTTAAAAATTTAGTCACAACTCTCATTCTTACTGCTGGGTTTCAAAAAAAAAATTGAGTAGTTTGTTTCTAACTTCCTTCAATTGACAAATGATAACATATAAAGTGTTTAGCCTGATCCCTGTGTCTTCAAGGACATAATATCTAGTTGGGAAAAAAAACAAAGAAGTATTTTGATTTCAAATCTACTCAGTTGTTTTTTATAGACTCTTGTTCCTTTCTTCTATTTTCAAACTTCCTTTTTGTTTGTTTAAACCTATTAGATACACTTATTTTCTGTGTCAGCTTATTCTCATACCCAAGCCTTTGTGTATCTGACCTTATATTTTGTTTCTGTCTGCTCTTACATGGAGCCTTGCTTATTATATGTTTTGTGTTTTCTGATTATGATTATGGAAATTCTTTGGGGCCTAGGTTCAAGATAGCCCTCCAAGAGGACGTGTCTTTCCTTCTGCCAGTCGTTAAAAGCACCACAAACTGGGGCTCATGAAGTTTTTAAAATAATTCCATGGTATCATGAATTTGGGACATAATATTACATATGGACCACACCATAGTTATGAATTCTCAAGGAAGACAATTTTTTATACTCCTTTATTCAGGACTTTGATCAAGACAGACGATTTTTCCTGGGATCCTCTTCTGCACAGCAGGTTAATTTCACATTCACCTTTCCTTTGGCCCTTTGGACTCCTGGTTTTAGAGGGTAGAGTCTTCTTATTCTCCTGATCTTGGACAAGACTGAGGATTTATCTTCTGTGTCCCAGACTCTGCACACCTGTCAAAGTAGAAGTTCAAATGTTGTTTGTCAGATTTTCCAGGAGTGCGCTCACTTCCCGCCTTAACTTTGTTTTTGGTCTCTCTGGGTTTCTTGCTTTTTTGCCAGCTCAATAAAATACATTAAAAAAAAATTTGTAAATCTTATCCAGCTTTAGTTTTCATCAGGAAGTTTGTTCTGGTTATTTGCTCCATTGTGTTAAATTGAAGTACTTTAAAAACAAGGTTAGATAATGTATAATCAGTTGCTAAGCAGAATCGAGGTACAGTTTCTCCAGTGCTTCTGTTTCCTTTACTTTCTATTCAGAACAAATCTTCTTCCTCAGAATGCAAGACAGTGGCTGAGTGGAGTAGGGGCAGTGGTGTGCTGGCAGACTGGCCCTCCGAAAGAAGAAAAGGAAAGAAAAAAAAAGCAAGCAAGCCTTGATGGTTAGTATTTGCCAATTTCTGTTGTGTAAATACTCCCATAATAGTCCATTTCATACTACCAAGGGATGTGCACAGTCGTCTCTCATGAACTGGAGTGGGTCAATGCCACTGTGGAGGTAGAAGATACAAATCAGGGTAGCTAAGTCACCCAGAGATCAGTGGACAGAGGCTGATGATGAAAAGGTGAACTAACTAGAGCACATACCAGCTAACTGTTGCCCTGTGGGTATAGGGCCAGTGTTACCATATCTTCTTCTCAAGAAGAACTAGAAATCCAAATTTTAGGTGAAATCTCTTCCTTTTAAATGTTGGCAACCGACTAATAAATTTTTTTTTTAAGAGATGGAGTCTTTCTCTGTCATCCAAGCTGTAGTGCAGTGTGGCACAATCATATTTCACTGCAGCCTTGAGTTCCTGGGCTCAAGTGATCCTCCCACCTCGGCCTCCCAAGCACCTGCGGGACTACAGGTGCATGCCACCACACCTAGCTACTTTTAAAAGATTTTAGAGATGGGGGTCTTGCTATCTTGCTCAGGCTTGTCTTGAATTCCTGACCTCAAGAGAGGAAAAATTTGAAAAATACCGGAGAGAACCAAAAACTAACCCTATTGGGGCAGATTTGGCGAGATAACACTAGCTTTAGACAGGTTGGGGAAGTGTCTCCGGGTATGTTTGCTTATCTGGTTCCAGGCCCTTTTCTCTAGGCCAAAAGGCTCAAATAAAGCCCCCTTTCTTCAGGCCCGTTTTGGAGAGGCAGTGCAGTGTTGGGGAGCAGGAGAATGTGCCATGGATTCAGAATCATCAGTTCGAATCCTAGGCCTGCCACTCACTGTGTGACCTGAGGCAAATCCTGGTAAAAAGAGAAGGATGGTCCCTGCTGGGGTAGGTTGTTCTAGAAATAAACCAAGATGTTTTGTGTATGGAAGTTGCCCCCTGTGTGTAGGCAGTTAATGGCTCTGTCCTCATTCTAAGCAGGAACCAGAGGGTGAGAGCTGAAGGCAAACACTGGCGTGTGCAGCAGAAAGACCCCTAGCTCAGGGTTCTTAACCTCCACTGCCTTAGACCCACCTGGCAAATATTTAAAAACAACAACAACAATCAATCAATCAATCAATCAATCAATTGCCGACCCTACCCTCACAAATTCTAATTCTGTTGGTCCAAGGTGGAGCCTGGGCATGACTATTTTTAAAGCACTCCCTAGTACTCTAATACTAAGTGCTTTCGATTCATAATTTCAATTATCCCAATCCTTCCAACAATCTTAGAAAGTATTCTCATTTTAAGGATGAGGACCTGAGGCTCCATGGTTAAGTAACATCTGAAGGTCACATGGCTGGCAAATGAGGAATCAGACTTAATTCAGAGCCTGAATTCTTAACCCCCCATGCCACTTAGCACTATTTTATGTACCTCACATGGTCTTTGTGAGGTCTAAGCACTGCAAGTAAAGTGCTTAGTTCAGGACCTGCAACTTATTGACAATTCAAGGTTGGGTAATGACAAGTATCATTACCTCCTATTACCAAAACAGAGAATTCTTCCCAATTTCTCTTCTATCCAATTCCATTTCAGGTAAATATATTCACTCTTTTGTGGAACTCCGGCTTTTTTTTACGCTGAAAGCATACATACTTACCACAGACAGTCATTGTAACAACTAGGGGACGCTTTGCCAGGGTTTGTCATGCCCAGGGAAGAAAGGGGAAGAGAGAGGACAGGAGCTGCAGATACTTGTGGAGAGCATGGTGATGAAACCTGTCTGGAATGATGCCCCCAGGGGCGAGCCTCAGCTCATAGCTCTTTGGTACACAGTATTGAATAAAGACACACTGCATGAAAGTAATTTGCTGAGGAGAGGGTAAGCAGAGAAAGGGACTAATGAGGGTGTCAGACATAGACTGGGGAGCAGTTATACCAGATGGGTCACATATTCGTTAGGAACCTCGTCCTACTGGTTTCCTGTCTTCACTGAGATGGACACAGAAGTCAACCCAAGAGGAAAATGTGCACTTGCTGAAGAGCAGTAGGCTCAGTTCCTAGAATGTGGGCTCTGGGGTCAGAGGGAGGCTCCAGCTGGCCTAGGTGCAAGGGGAACTAGGCTAGGATACAGGTGCTGCGTGAGTGGCGCCCTCTCAGAGGGAGAGCCCTGGCCTGCACCACGAATCCCCTCACAACTAGGTGTTTGAAATGGTGATTTTACCCAGCTTACTTAGGTAAACATCTTAAATTTTGTCCCTCCAGTGACTGGATTTGCAAAATAGAGTGAACAAGCACCACCTTAAATTATTAATAGAAATAAATAGGGCATAAAATTGTTCAGTAAGAGGTGGGAAAAGTTTTGACCAAAAATTCTGCCTTGAAGGGAATGCTGGCATTTCCTCTCAATTAACAACCATAACTTCTGGTAGGAAGAAATGGAGAAGGAACAAGGAGGCCTACAAGAGGAAGGCAAAGGTCAAGGCAATTTGTGGCTAAAAGAGAACAATCTCTGAGATTCAACCTCTGAGTTTTCAAAGGTTTGCCCATATGTACGAATTACAAGGGTATAAGGTGCACATTTACAAAGTTGCAAGTTTACAGTCACTTCCAAATGAAGCTTTTGATCTTCAATTCACTTGAAACTTACTCAACACTCTACGTATGACCTCTTGAATTTGTCTTCTACTGTTTTTTTGTTGTTGTTGTTTTGTTTTCCTCTGTGGTGGGGAAGGGAGGACAAGGCCTCACTCTGTCACCCACGCTGTAATGCAGTGGTACAATCATGGCTCATTGCAGCCTGGACCTCCTGGAATCAAGCGATCTATCCTTACACCTCGGCCTCCCATAGCTGGGACTTCTTGTATTTTTTGTAGACACCTGGTTTTCGTCACGTTGTCTAGGCTGGTCTCGAACTCCTGGGCTCAAGGCATCCTCCCGCCTCAGCCTCCCAAAGTGCTGGGATTGCAGGTGTGAGCCACTGCACCCCGCCTTCCACTATTTTTAAACTTGCAATATTTCTTTTTAACATGTCTTATACCCTCAAGTAAGCTCTTCAAGGGAAATGGCTTTATCATGTGCCTGCACCCCCCCCCCCTCACTGTGAAGCTCACAATGCTGTGTTAATCTACTGAATCTTTGACTCTTCCACTCTTTTGGAATGCCCCTGGGATATGCGTTCTGTAAATGGACACTCAACATGTTTATAGTGAAAATCTAATGGCTGAGAGCCCAGCCACTGTAAACACATTATTTCTACTTTCGCAGGTCTGCACTCTAATTAGACAAAAGATTGCTTAAATTTAGAGAAGAAAACGCGTGGATTTCTTCTACAGTGTTATAAGTATTTAAACCAGCAACGGAAAATTCTTGGAATTTTATGCTGCATCACGATGCGCGGCCCTGGGTGATCTAGCCTCCCAGTTCTTCGTGCAAAGCTCAATACCAGCTTTTAACCACCACCATACCACCATACCCAACCTGTACCCCAAGCACTGGCACTTGAAGCCGAGTTGTGGTCGTACATCACCGTCCACACTCCCAGGCTGTAAACCAAATGCAAACTCCGGGCTTCTCAGTGGGACAGGCCTACAAGGAGAGGAGAGGTGCCTCGTGAGGAGCAATCGCAGTAAGCAGTCAGAGACCCCTTCCCCAGACTTCCCCTTCCAAGGGCAACCCGAAATAGCAGAAGCGCATTTCTAGTGGGCACAGCCGCATGCCCACGAGACAGGCACATGTTGACTGGGGGAATTCGGTACAAGGAAGCGAGGACACAGAGCACGTAGGGTGCTGAGGGTCCCTCTCGCGGCCAAAATATGTGCCAGTGAGTGTGTGCGCGTGTGAGATCTGCTCCAGAAACCGTGGCCGCGGACTGGCGCGGCCTCCTGAGCGAAGCACAGGCAGGAGGCTTTGTTCCCTGAATGTGAATGCGAGAGCCGAGCTGGGCGCAAAGACGGCGGCGTTCCGCGGCGGGAAACCGTCCTCTCCGCCGCGGCTCGGGCAGCGCGCGAAACTCTCAGATTCCCCGGCCCGGGCCGCCGGCTACGCCAGCGGCGCGCAGCGAGGACAGCCTGGCTGTCTCGCGAGCAGCGCCCGGAGAGGCCGCGCCGCGGGCCCCGCCGCGTCCCCCAGCCAGCGCGGGCGGCCCCACGCGCCCGCCACTCGGCAGCGCAGCCAGCGCCACATTCCATTTAAAAATAACACCCACGTGCGCTGGTAAACAAGCGCGCGCGGCTACCGAGGCCGCGCGCTCGGGCCCAGCATGTGCGGCGCGCGCGCCCGCCCTCCTCCCGCACGTGTCGGCCGGCGCCGCTCAGTCCCCGCCCCCTCGGCTGGTCGCGTCCCGCCCACGAGCCCCCAGCCCAGCCGCTCCAGGCCCTAGTGCCCCCTACCCCGCCAGTCGCACCCAGTCGAGTGCGGTGCAACTTTCCGCCCCCGACGCCTTCTTGTCGCCGGCGGCCGCAGGGTCCCAGGTCGGCTCCCTTCCTCCCGTCCGCTGTCTTCTCGCGTCCCCCCCTTGAGCCCTCCCACCGCCAGCGCGCGAAGGATTGGTTTCTAGTGCGCCCTCTCCCTTTTTCCTTCTTCTCTCTCTCCTTCCTTAGAATTTTACTCGATTGTTTATTATTTGCTGGGGGGCGGGGGCGGGGGGCGGAGAGGGGCGTCTGGGGCCTGGAGACTGGTAGCCGCGGCCAGTAAGCACGCGGCGTGCCTTGACGAGTAAGCCGCGCAGCGAATGGCGACGCGGCGGAGAGCTCCGGGGTCACGCGCGTGTGGAGACGATGACATCATCTGTTTGTACGCGTCGAACTAGCTTGGTGCAGGGGCGGGGCCGCGCGTCACTTGAGTGACGGGCGCTGCGCAAAGCCCGGAGCCCGGAGGCGGCGGGGCGGGCTGGCTCCTGTGTACGCTGGGCTGGACCTTTTTGTGTATGGGGTCGTTGAGGAGCCCGCTTCTAGACTCTGAGCTATCTCTGGCGACTTACAAGAATTTTTAAAAAAAAGATATTTATGAACTAGTGTCTAGACTTTTGGTGTGCATGTCGCATGTAGTGCATTCGTAGAGTACAAATAAACGATTTGGGGCACGGATCGTAGAATAAGGACTTGTGCAGATGTTTTTTAACCTAAAGGATATGTCTTTTTTTAAAAGTCAAAAATGTACACGTAGCGGTTTTGTCGTCATTTACAAATTAGATTAAAATTATTTCCCTTTCTCAATTGTTCGGAATCTGCTCTTGAATGTAGGACAGGGGTAAATTTGCATTTCTTCGGAGTTAGTTACACCTCTCCCCCGTTTGCCATGAAACACATGAAAAGTGAAACACGACTGTGGTCTACCGTCCGAGGCGAGAGATTCAGTGCAAACCTTTTGGTGCCTGATCGAATCTGTGAGCATCAGCTTATCGAAGTTGTGCAGGCGTCAACATCTTCGCCGTTCAGTATTTCCACGCCGCGGTAAACCTTGCCATCTACGCCTAGCATCTCACTTCGGGTGTTACCTAGTGTCGGGTTCTAACAGGGAACCGGACACCGGGGCTGGCCCAGAGCCTGGCGGGCGGACGCTTAGGTCGGGGACCCTGGTACCAGGCGCCCTGCCCGGAGTCGGGGAGGCCACGCCACTGCGCTCCTTGGAGCGTCGGAGGCTCTAGCTCCTGCAGCTCCCCCTTCTCCTTCCTCTCCCTCCTCTCCCGGGCCAACGCCGCGCTTTGTTGTCGTTGGGGCTCTCGGGAGGGAGGAGGAGCCCAGCGGGGACAGCAGCGGGAGCCCGCCGAATCTCGGCCCACGGCGCGCGCCCGGACACCCACGCCCGCAGCCCCGCGGAGCTGGCCCGCGCAGGCGCGCGCGAGCTCACACACGCGCACTCACACACGCGCACTCACACACGCACGCCCAACGCGCGCCCGGCCCGCCGCCCAGCCCTCCCCCTGGGCGGGGACCCGCCCGCCCGCCGTCAGCTTAGGTTGAGGCGCCCTGCGTGTGTCTATAACTTTGTGCTGCTGCTGCGGCCGCCCTGCTCGTGGAAGGGAGGAGGAGGAATGTGGAAGGCGGCGGCGCGCGAGCTGACAGGCGGTTCCTCGGGCGGGCTGCGGCGACGGCCCGAGCGCTCCTCCTTCGCCGAGGTTGCGCGCCCCCTCCTCGCCGTGCCCCGGGCCCGCGCGGGATCGTGCGTCGTCCCGCCGCGTCCCTGAAGGGAAGGAAGCGAGGTAGGCGCCGGAGCCGTGCAGCGGGCGGCCGCCTTCCCGGTGACTCCGGATCTGCTTCCGAGCTGGGCCGGGCGCTTCCCTTTCCCCTCCCCGAGCCGCGGTGTGCGCGCCCCCCCTCTCGCCCGCTAGTGTTTTTAAAGGACTCAAGGGAAGGGGGAAACTGTCAAGATGGCAGCAGCGGGAGCAAGGAGGTGATGAACATGCTGGTCCGGGTTTTCTAGCAGCCCGGGAGACTTGGCGCTTCCCGACCTGTTGGAAGATTTATGTTCCGACTCGCTCCCTCCCCCGGATCCCGACTGGGAAGGGGGCGGAGGGGACGACGTCCGCGAGAATGCAAACCACACAAAATCCCGAAGTGGCCGTCCCTGCCGGGCTCGACCCTCTGCGAACGCCCGCCGGGCTGCTGCTTCCCCTTCTTTCCGTGTTTCCTTTATTTTTTGGAAGTGACAAGGGCCCATCTGCGCCCAGACCCCCGTTCGCCCTCCGGCCCGCGGGCGAAGAGAGGAGAGGGAGCTGCCCGCGCAGTCCCCGGGCTCGGGCCATTCGACCGGGTTGGGGGTGACGGGGGGTCGCGGAGGCAGCTGGGCCGGGAAAGGGGAGAAGAGCCGAAGACAGCACAGACTTGAGCGGCGGCGCCGCGGGAGGCACTAGAGCGGGCCCGAGCGAAACATAAACAAACGCACGCACGCCCGAGCTCGGGCTCTGACCGCCGCTCGGCTGCGCCAGCTCCGGCCGCTGCCCGCTTTAAAGGCGCGGCCGCCCCTCCCCCGGGCGCCCCTCCCCCTTCTCCCCGCCCCGCCGCCTAGCCCGGGAGGGACCTGCGGCTGGGCGGCGGGGGGAGGGGGCTGCCCCGCGCGAGGCCGTCGATTCGCTCGCGGCTCCCCCGCGGCCTGGCCAGGGGGCGGTGTCTGCTGCGCCAGGTTCGCTGGCCGCACGTCTCCAGGTCCGCCTGTTCCTGGGAGGCGGGCGCGGCAAGGCTGGGAGGTAGTGGCGGCGGGCGAGGACTCGCCGAGGACTGCGCTCTGGCCCGGGATAACCAACTCTCCTTCTCTCTCCTCTGGTGCTTCCCCAGGCGGCGGCGGCGGCGCCCGGGAGCCGGAGCCTTAGCGGCGCCCACGTCCCTCCCCCGCCGCACCCCGCCCCGGCGCGAGAGGAGAGCGCGAGAGCCCCAGCCGCGGGCGGGCGGCGAAGATGGCAGAGGCACCGGCCTCCCCGGCCCCGCTCTCTCCGCTGGAAGTGGAGCTGGACCCGGAGTTCGAGCCCCAGAGCCGTCCGCGCTCCTGTACGTGGCCCCTGCAAAGACCGGAGCTCCAAGCGAGCCCTGCTAAGCCCTCGGGGGAGACGGCCGCCGACTCCATGATCCCCGAGGAGGAGGACGATGAAGACGACGAGGACGGCGGGGGACGGGCCGGCTCGGCCATGGCGATCGGCGGCGGCGGGAGCGGCACGCTGGGCTCCGGGCTGCTCCTTGAGGACTCGGCCCGGGTGCTGGCACCCGGAGGGCAAGACCCCGGGTCTGGGCCAGCCACCGCGGCGGGCGCTCTGAGCGGGGGTACACAGGCGCTGCTGCAGCCTCAGCAGCCGCTGCCACCGCCGCAGCCGGGGGCGGCTGGGGGCTCCGGGCAGCCGAGGAAATGCTCGTCGCGGCGGAACGCCTGGGGAAACCTGTCCTACGCGGACCTGATCACCCGCGCCATCGAAAGCTCCCCGGACAAACGGCTCACTCTGTCCCAGATCTACGAGTGGATGGTGCGTTGCGTGCCCTACTTCAAGGATAAGGGCGACAGCAACAGCTCTGCCGGCTGGAAGGTGCGTACCCACCCCGGGCTGGCGGCAGGACCCGCCGGGCCTCCTGCGCAGCGCAAGATGCGCCTCGGATTCGTCGGAGCGCGCCTGCGGGCTCCAGGGCAAGGGGTTGGCAGGGGGAGCTGTGAGGCCTTGGGTGTTCTCTTTGACTCCTGTAGTAGGGGCACCTGGGGACGGCCCGGAGGGGGGAAGGAGGCTCCCAGAGGCCTAGGGCATGGCCAGGTGAGGAGAGGGGGCAGGGGACGCCGGCGAGGGAAGGGCGAACGGACAGGAGTACATTTGCTGGATTCTCAGGACAGCGCCGAGAAGGTAGGTCTGCAGCCAACTTTGGAGTAGAGTTTACCGTAGTGGGGGTCTGATGCGGGCGCTGTAGGTGGAGTGAGAGGTGTGTGTCGGGGGGTGTTTGGGACGCAGTGTCCAGAGGAGGGGTTGGATGTGTGGTTTCCAGTCTGTCGCAGGAGCATGTTGTGTCGTCACTAGCTGAATGAGAACCTTCGGGTCCAAGTTTCAGCTTGTGGGTGTTAACTCCTACAGGCACATCGATCCCATTAGAAAAAGTAGTGGTTGCAAACCTCTTCCTGGACGGCTTCCTTTCCTTGCCTGTATTGATACCTTTCTTTCTCAGAGATGTCGCTCCAGTAAATCTGCTTCTTACTAGCTGCTTCTGAAATGTTCTGGGGCCTCGAACCGGCCGATCTGGCCACCTCAATCCAGACTGGCTGCACCGTCTGCTCCCGCCGAGGCCTGGACTCTGGCACTGTTTGAGGGAAGGGCTCTGGTGTGGGGACCTGCGCTTCATTCACTCTGGCGATTGGGAGGAGGTTTGGGGGCTTGGCCGGGCCGTAATGGCTTCTACCTGTAAATGAACCCGAAGAGAGACTCTCTACCGTTCCTTATCATCCTCTTGGGGCACGGGACACGGGGTAGGGAGAGAGATGTGGAAAGGCCTATGATGTAATGACTTCCTGCTGTTGGGTATCCAAAGAGATTAACTCCTCTGCCCCTGTTGGGCTGCTGATACCCAGTTGCTTTGCTCTTCCTAGGCACCTCCCTGGCCCCTTTCCCCAAGACAGTAATGTGTCAGTACCAGGCCAAAGAGTCCTGTGCAATTGGAGATACACATCTCTTATCAGCTGCTCCTATTTGCAATTTAGCTTAGATTTTTTTTTTTTTTTTTTTTTAATGTGAAAGTAGTTGCTTCCTCCTTCCCTTTCTTCTTGTTTTCCTGGGTTTCAGGAGATATAAAAATAAGAACAGTTTAATCTTAGTGGAGAATTCAATGGAAGCACTGGAGACGAGCCTGTATATGAAAAAGTTAAAGAACCTAATGTAGAGAATGTTTTATTTTGCCTCTAGAAAACTCGTCCAAAGTTAAATACGGCTTGTATCAGAGAGGCTTTGTATTAGATACTTCAAAAGTAAAACACATGTGCTTTGATATTAATCCACAAATCTGTCTCATTTCTTTTAACAAATGCTAACATTATGAGTCTTATATTTGGTCTAATTTAATTGCTTTATAAAAGAATGCCAGTTGTATGATATGAGAGTTCTTTACAGAAAGGATGAAAGACAATTCCATTTGAAAAGAGCACTAGTGTGACATCTTTTAA